AATCGAATTTTTTCGTGGGCCGGAGAAAAAAAAATCGAAAAAAACCCCCGCGCACGAAGAACGTGCCCCCTCGATTATGTTATTATTATGCGCGCGACGGCACCGCGTCTATAAATCATTCCGAGTCTCGGCGAGCTCGTTGCTCGCCCGTACAGTCGCGGACGTCCTCGAAGGGATGACCCTCCCGCCGCCGACCGGATTTCGATTCAGCGACGTATTATCGTTATATTCTACCGGTTCCTGTTTTCCCCTCCACCACCCCCGCCGCTATTATTGTGTTGTATACGTTTTTTTTTTCCTCATTTTATTTCCAGCCTTCCTTACACGTCGTCGCGTGTTGCCAAACACCCCGACACGATGATTAATACGATAGTGTCCAACAACGCCGCCGCCGCCCGAGTAAAACGAGCTCGCGCATAATAATTTAATATTCAATATTGCACTAACCGAACGGTTTTTTTTTTTTTTATTGTCCTCACGACTGACGCGGCTTACTTTTATTATCTCGCAGAAGTCTATACGGGTCTATGCACCGGCATACGTCTACCGTCGCTCATAGTGTCTTACCGTATTGTTATATCGGTTTAATTCCAATCGGATCGTGAAACTGGACGCACCTGGAGTATAACGTGCGTTGCCACGATTAGCAAGTCGATGAAAACGATTTATTTGATTTAGTGAAATCAAATAAAAACAAAAACTAAATTAAAATCAAACTAAAGCTTAAAAGTTAAAATCTAAGTTTTTTTTAACTTCAGTTTTAAACTAAATATGTTAACATAAAATAATTGAACTAGTTAAGTAAAATTCAATTCAATGATAATTTAATTCTTAATTGTTTTAAGAAATACGTTTTTTTTAAATACGTTTAAATTCCGAGCATAGTGAGCTTATGGTTTTATAAAGATAATTTTTTTTTTCTTATCGGTGGACAACTTTTCTACCGGAAATCTGGCTCCGAGTGCGCCGCATTTCTGAAAGGAAATCGGACTGGAGATTTAAAGTAACATATAGAATACGATATGCATCCGTGCGCTGTTCCTTTCAGAAGAAATACTAAAACTGTGTATCATGTTGGTGAATCATGTAGTTTAAAATTTGAGTTGGCACCATAGAAATTTCGAAATATGAAAGTGGGGGTGCAACACGTTTCCCCAGAATCCCTTGAGGAAAACGGCCGTACCTCAGACAAATAAACCGAAATCACAAATGTCGGGACTTGCATTCGTTTCAGAGTTCAAAACTAAAGGTATCGGGAAAATAAACCTAAAATATGATATTATTTTCATTTCTCGGTATTTTTCATTAACCCGTCAAGTCGCAAATAATAACCGTTCGGGGCTGGCGTGAAAACTTTTTTACCTTATACCCGGATCATTCGGTCGGAAGTTCGCGCGGACTTCATGGCCCCGCTGTCAATCGGATATACTGCAAAATGAGTCGTCTGGCCGGCTGCAGCAGTGCTCGTAGTGTTATTATTATACATATTTTTGTCACGAATAATTATAATTAGTTATTATTATAATTATTATTTCGGAGTGTCGCGTTAAGAAAAACCGAATGGAAAAGGGTCACGAACGCGTCACGCGCACACTTTCCCTCGCCGTAACGTATCCGCGGCGGTCCGCGCGAAATGAAAATAACGCGTAATCTCGTGTCACCGTTGCGACCGGAAACCGCCAAAACGTATGCAACCGTCGAAACGGACATTTTTGTCGTTTCATTTCCTATAGTCCGTAATAATTAATAATATTATAATCGCATGATATACCTACCTGCAGCGCGGGTGTGAAATTATTACAATCGGAGAATATTGCGCCGGATCCGTGCAGATCGGTAAAACGGCATAGTACGACTAAATTTTTTTCTTCTGAACTCTGAAAAATTAATAAAAATTGCGAATTTAATGAAAATAAAACGCTAAAACGTCTACATTTCAGATTCTAAGTGTAACGAAGAACACATTGGTTTCACAAAGATGTTTATTTTTTTTTTTCATGTGAACACTCCAACTTGTATACGATGTACACCCTTTTCTGAAAGGAAATTTTCTCGGGATGGTAATTTAAGGAGTGAATCGACATTTAAAAATGTTCGGCGAAATCGATATGTTTCTTATAAAAAAAAAAAAAGTGTTATTTCGACGGAATCCATATCGGTAATCGATGCGGTTCGGGACATTTTAATTGAATACATTGTCACAAATGGAATACCGCCGGGATATAACCGGTATGAATAAAACGACTGCACGGATTGTAATATTATTTTTCGAGAGAAAAAAAAAACAAACCTATAAATATTCGTTTACCCGCTCGCCGCAGGGATATAAACTGCGATAATTTTAGGCCGCGAATAACGGCCGGTCTACCGAAGAAAGTTCCGATAAACCTCGCGGATAGGCGTGCGAAGTTTTCAAAGGTTTTCGAGCCCGCGTTTCGTTTAAATAATAATAACCCACGCAAACGTGAAAATCGCAAAATACGTTTCACACGGTTTCGGCGGTGATTTTATCGCGTCTCTTTCGCCCGGGTAAACCGTCCGGAGACCCGTCGAACGTCCCTTAAGTGCGCGGGGAACGGGAGCGAATCCTTTCCCCGCGCGTGTACTGTACCGCGCATACCGCGCGGGTCGTTTAAAGGCCTCTAACCCTCCGCCCACCTTCTCTTTGAAAATAATAACTCGAATCGGACTATATATATAATATACTTATACACCCCGAAACCTCAAGGTCCTCGGCCGCTATAATTAAGTCTTTCCTTAATTTACCGCGTTTCGGCTGTACGCGTCCCTCGGCGAGCGATAAAAAAAAAGAAAACTAAAACAATTAACGAATAACGGTTATTGTTTTTTCGTACACATATATATAAATACGTTTTGCGCGTGTACCGAGTCTGTTCGAATAATCGTACGTTTCGGGAACGGGAAGAACGGGTAGTCCGTGTCCCCCGTGTTATGTACTCGCGAAACTGCGGTATAAACCGTAGATAATTTGGACGGCCCCGTATATATTTTATACGTCACGCGGCGCGCAGCGTTTCCCCCCCTCGCGGAATTCCGTTTGATTTACAGCTCCGCAGAGAGAGGACGCGTTTGCGGTACAATGCGCCGTGTATTTATTTATTGTCTCGGCGAAAGAAGAAAATAATATTTACCGCAAAGACGCGGTCCGGCTGGGGTCGAAAACTATCGGCCGAGGCACCTCCGCGAACCCGCGCGAGATATTTATACGATTCGCGTATAATAGTACACGCGTGCACACGCACACACACACACACACGCGCACATAAATAATAATAACGGCCGAGTGTTGTTTTAATGAGGAATTATAGGGCGGAACGTTTTCCGGGGTCCCGGACCTTTTACGACCTTGCGGACGGAGCGGGAGACGCGAAAAGAAAAAGCAATAACCGCGCGGAAGTTGATACGGAAAACGCTGCGATATCGAGTGCCGGGCAGCCGAGACGTTATTATTTATAAATTAAGCCGGGCGGGCAGTGGGAAATGGGCGGCAGAGCGGGATACGCGATGATAATAATATAATAATAACTTAACGATAACAACACACTCGGCACGTGACGTATCGAACGCGTGGCATGGTGGATAAGTTCGGACGGTTCTGCGCGGATGAAATTTCACGAAAAAAACGAAAAAATTACAATAATACCGCTTTGATAGACCATGCGAAAGTCGAACGGTTATTGATTGGAGAAAAAAACTAGCTGGTTCCCGTAGACGTATTTAGACCTTTTTTTTTTTTAGGATACGCAAAAAGTATGTGTATCACGCAGTAGTCCACGTGAGTCTTTGTACCCGACATTCCCATCGGTCATAGACGTGTCTACGGTAGCAGCATAGGATGTCTGGACTGTCCTTGCAACACACTGTCCGTTTTGTTCTAATTCGCTAGACTTACCCAGGGCTTATAATCAATTTGTTTAACAATCAAAAAGTAAAAGGATTAGAATTTCTGTAGAGATTCCCACGCATAAGGAAATACTATTAATAACTATTTATTAAAAAAAAAAAAAAAAACAAGTTTTGATTAAATATATGTGTGCCAAAGTGCCCTGTCACCTCTCCGAATGGCACTTGTGGTGTATTTTATTTATCGTTCAGGGTATGCTGTGGATTACCTTGCGACATCCCTGGTTATGCCTATAACGTGCTTATGATCCAGTTTGGATCAAAAGGTCCTTTGAAAAAGTTGATGTAAATTTTCTCGATGTTTTTCTTTCTTCCGAGCGGAATTGTGTTAGCCGTGTTAATTAAAACTTGGAAATAATTTAAAAAGCTAAAAAAGCGAGAAGAAAAAATGACAAACTGACTTAATCAAATCGCTTAGTCAAGAAAATAATGTATAAAATAGTATTATCATTACGTCTCCAATATATTTGTCGATATTACCCTGATAAAAAAAAATCCTGTACTCTACACACCTCCCTCACCCTCCCCCTTCCCGTAAATATGCTATTGTCATATTACATAGCAGTCACGGTCTAAATGATTTTATACGGAAATCGGGCATTGCCCGACGAGCAACTTTAAAACCAATAGGATATTTATTTATTTTGAACCGAAATTTCCGAATACTAATACAAATTACACATAATAGAATATAGTGAGTTTTTTTTGACTATCTGTCTCGTAAAGAATAATGGCCAGGAAATAGTATAAACATTTAATACAAAAAAAAAAAAATTAATAATTTAAATTATAAAAATTAATATTATAAGCATGTTAAATCAATGCATTTATACGGTATTCAGTGACTATATTATAATATGGTACGTCGAAAAAAACACTTATTGATAATATTGATTCGATTGTCACGGGCGATCTATACAGAAACTTTGTTTATACAGATTTGTTTGTCACGATTCGAACGTACATTTTGCTAATCAACTTTTTGACCGCACATTTTGCAGTTTTCTATATGTTACTTATTAGTATTTCATTTGGTGAACTATTCGAGTGGTTATTGTTATAATTGTGGCTGAGAAATGAATTCTGCAGTACAACTTGAATCGAACGGCGGTTATTCTGCCGTGGAAGATATTAGTCTTTCTACTCAGATTCCGGGTTTAAGTGATGGAGATGGACGCCGTTTGGAAAAACCAGTACCAGGAGTACTTAAACACGAAAAAACCGATCAAGTTTCAAACGCGAAAACGTTTTATGCATCAAACGAACTTATTATTAAAACGGTGACGTTAACGTATCAGATTCATACAATTTTAGTATCCGATTGTATTGCTTATTGTAGAAAACCCATATACGAATTGGCTTCGCTTTTTTCCAAAAGAGACTTTCTGTCTTATTCAGAACTAACGTTGAAAGGTGCTCTGTGGCGGCAGATTGACGATAAAATTATGAAGTATATCAGAGAGTTCGATAATACTAAACGTAATATGGCACATTTGTCTAGTTGTCTTATTTTAGTATTCAACAGAATAACTGAACTTTGTTGCACCCCTGATAATGAACTAAAGATGGAATTAAAAGTATTCATTGATGATATTCAAAAACATGTAAAATATCACGATGACGCATTGTGGACAAAGTGGTTTTCTCGCGATAGTAATTTTGAAGATTGGATGTTTTTTTTGGCTAATATTTTTATGTCGGGCAAAAATTTTGTAAATGAAGACGAAGAAATTCGTATTAGAAATGCAGTAAAGTATTTCAGAAAGGTAAGATATAGTCATTACATATTTTGTAACGACAAATCTAAAAAAAAAACCGCACCAGAAACAAATGACGACGACATTTTTACTATTGGAGACAAGGCAAAAAAACGAAAATATGAGGAAAACCATCGTGTTGACGACGACATTTTTAAGCGTATCAACGTGACAGGAAATAAACCTGGTGTTTTTATTAAACAATCACGGAAAAGATTAAGAAGACTGTTGAAGTAAAAACTGAAAATATTTTGGATAAACTTAAAATCGCATGAAAAAATATAGTTTACACGTCAATTTACATTGTATAAAATAGTTGTTGCCGTGTTTACTACATTATTGAAAATCCAAGAGAACTCAGCAACACTTAAAGCATAAACCATTTTTTTGTTTTCTTGATGCCAATAACTATTATTTCTATATGGCTTTATATTTTTTCCCTGAATGTAAATTTATAATTTTTGTTACCAATTAAAAATAGTTATATAATGGTTAATATTTTTTATTATTTGAAAATGTTCAATGTGTATTGTGTCTCTACCCCTCCTACCACAGAAGAACAAATATCGTTCAAAAGTCATAAATCACTTGCTACGAAGGTTTACAGAAAGATTGATTTCTTGAAGTGTTATCAATTACCATTTAAATGTAGAAATACAATTTATGGTGTAAAGGTAAAAAATTAACAATGGTTTTAAAATAACGCTTAAACAATTGTACGAATATTAACAAATACATCAATCAAATTCACTTAAAATTTTCCGAGATAATCACTGGTTCTTGATCACCCTTTACTGGACAAATTTTAACCCCCCCCCCCTTCCAAAAAACTTTTACAATACGCCACTGGCTTTTCCAACAATATACATACCATATTATGGCAAAATGATTTCCGTGAATAAAAACTTAATAATAACGAAAATTAAATAAAAACGGTTCCAACGAAAATCTTATTTTTAATCGTAATCAAAACACGAAAACCCACAACATGGTATATTTTTGAAATTTTCACTTGGCTGTTTTTTTTTTTTTACAGTTATAGAAGGTCTATAGGGACTTTTTAGGCATATTATTGCACTTGGTCACTTTTCGCACCACGGCGGCAATTTATATAAAAACAAACAAACAAACAAAGCAAATTTGGTTATTAAAATATATAAAACTACATGCTGACAAAACATTATAATTAATTAGAATACATAAACAAATAACAACATTTCTGGTGAAAAATAATAATTGCGTTTTTGAAATATGATTTGTTTAACTTTAGACTTAAGGTTTGTGTTGGTATGGTTCCGCAATGTAGCGCAAACCTACCGAGTCTAATATTTATTTTTTAGTCCAGTGTTTGATAATGTTTTCGGGAATTCATCAATCCTATTTGATACCGTTGGCTTTCGGAACATGCTCGGATCCGGACCAAAGACCGGGCGGGGAGCCCAACGATTTTCGTACGACACGAATTCAATTACGACATTATAATATTATATTTACCGTGCACGTCGGCGATTGGCGATAGCGCCATATCAGGGTCTACAGAACGGTTGGAAAAAAATTTGTCACACAATATGACTGGGGGTGGGGGAGGGGATTCCTAGGCCGCCGCTGGTTCCGTCCCGGGGTTTCGGAAATTCGCCGGGAACGGGCGCGCGGCGAAATCACGCGTGTCCGACGGAATATGTTAATTCCTATTCGAAACTCGCCCTCTACAGGTACGGCTGTTAATTCGGCTATAAACGCGTACGGTGTTGCGAATTTTCGAGGGCAGACGTCCTCGCGTTAAAACACGCCCGTACCGTTACAATGTCTACCCGGCTCTAAAAACTCGACGCGGGATTTCGACGCGGTCTGAGTGTACGCACTTACAGCCATAATGGATACGTGTTAAAAATATTATAATCGCCGCCTATTTGCGCTTATTATTATCGCTGTTATTGTATAGCGTATTACGCATACAGTCCGTACCTACACCGTCTGCGTACGCGACCTCGCACGGTCGGGCCGCCGCCGGTCGTAAAACCGAAACGATATTGTTGCGACGTACCGACCCGGCACAACCGATGAAATAACCCGGGGTTTCGCGGTCCATTGTCCCGGGATCGTATTATTTGTTTGTTTTTTTTTTTTCTTTCCCGACCGAAAATTCACGATAATTTACGCGTCGGACGGGCCCGACGCGATCGCCGTGCGGCGCGCGGAAAGTCGCGCCCGCGAGACCCGCGAAGACCGTCGTCGCCCGGAACCGGAGCAGCCGGCCCGGTCCCGACCTCCGTCGCCGCCGCGTACATTGTACGCGCATTGTGTTTATTTTTGCCGGGACCGTGTCGGATTTTCGTCGCGCGCGCGCCCGGTTTTTACGATGTTTTTACGACGCCGATTTACGCGTACACCGCGAACGCGTACTTACGCGCACGCGAAACCGCGAACGTTCAATCAAACGCTATTATTCCGTTTCGACGCGGTCCGAGGGGACGCGCCGAAATCCGCGGGCGCGCGCGCGAAAACATGCGACGGCACTCGACGCGGTCGTATATTAAATAATGTTATTATGAATATGTTTCCGGCGGCCGGAGAGAAAAACCGCCTCCGCCTCCAACCCTCCCCCCTTCTGCCGCCCTCCCACCCGCCTCGGCCCCGCTCCTCCGGGGCCGCGAGCGTTTCGCAACCGTTCAAAACATCGGGGCCGCAGCCGTATGCCGTGTGCGATCCATTTATATGGGGGATAGGGGGGGGGAGGGGTACACGCATTATCACGGAAATTTTTGCATTTTTCCGGAATCCGTTATCTGGAACGTTTCGGAAGCAAGCGGCTCTACAATTTTATATCTACGTTATTTTTCCGTCGCCATTAGTTTTAGGCGTGAAACGACCATCTGCTTTTGATTTTCGAATAGCGACCCGTATTAAAAAATTATCCATAAACACACGGAGTATTAGTTGCGGTTTATTTCGGTGTTGCCATTTTTGAATTCCGTCGTTCCGTTGACGAGTTATTACACTGTTAATTTCAGGCTGGAGGAGAGTAATTTGAGAATATTATTTGTGTGGCGGTACGGTGCGTGACGTGATAATTATCTACCACTTCTCTCGTCCAACCTAAAATCAAAATTGGAATAACTCGTCGACGGCTGTGAAACCAGGTACAACCGGTGGCTTTAGCACTTAGCTAACATTCTGTTTTCAAATGTCAACACCGAAATTTATTTTAACTAAAACTCCGTCTATTTATGGATTTTTTTGGTACAAACGGCCCCATTTGAAAATCAAAAGTTACTAATGGTTTTACCCCCGAAAATAATTAACTGAAACGTAAAATTGTAGAGCGGCTTGTTTCTAAAAAGTTCTAGAAAACAAATTCCGGAAAAATTTACTGTTTTCCGAGATAATGAGTGGGCCTACTTAAATGACTTGGGCGACTATCTTATGTACAATAAAAAAAAAACATTTTAATAACACGCATCATCTAATCTTTATATTTTATAACGGAAATTCCGCGAAAAAACGAAAATGGATCACCCGGCGCGCTGTAACGCAATGTACGCGGCGTTTGCCGTTCACGGTTTTGTGTTACGCGTTAGAGCGCGAGTACGGCGTATTGAAAAAGGACGAGGCGCGGCCGGTCGCGCGTCGCCGGATAAATCGTTTTCGGACATTTGATTTTGAATAAGAGAGCGGAGGGGAAAGGTCGGCAAAAAGTCACCGTACATAGAGACAATCGCCGCTACGGATACGTTGTGATGTTTGCATACCGCACTGCCGTTTTTCTCTGACGAACGCCGTGACAACAAAAACGCGCCGTTTTAAGCGCGGACGACGAAAAACCGGGGTCGCCCTAGTGCGTCCCGACATCACTCTTTTCAAACGTCCCGAGTGCGTCCGTAACGAGGTAACAATATTCGAAATGTTTGCATTCATCGACCGAAACAGTCTCATGCCGACGTGGTTTACGCCAATACGGCCACGCCAACACGTCCGGTACCGAAGAGTTTTCACCGCTTTATCGCTGGTTTATCAACGTTTTGTTGAGTCGCTTTATTCGAACTTTAATTACCGGCCAGTGGGCTTCGAGTTAATCGCGCGGGGTTCGGACGTCGGACCGCTCGGCCGCTACAAAACGCGACCGGAAAGGTCGTCGCGGACTCGATCAAAGGCCAAAGAGAATATTATAACAACAGTATTATACACGCGTGTACCTATGCATTAATAACTGTTGTAAAATATCAAAAGTACGGAATGTTTATGATGACATTATGGCCGCCGGCATTAATCCCGGTCTCTCTCTCCCGAGGGATAATTTTTGTTTTTAATCGAAAACTTAGCGGAACTCGCCCCGTAAAACACGATAATATAATACTATAACGCGATGGCGAGTTTTAAATTTCGACCCGCCGTGGTGCAGCCCGTAGTAATGAACGTACATGAAATATGCATAAGCGATTTATTCGTCCGCTTGCGCTCGTGTGTAGCGATGGTAATAATTCCGAGGACATTGTATACTGCAATAAGGTAATACACAGATATTCCTATTCCGATATTCTGTTTGCAGTGCAATTTCGGTAAACGCGGCGAAAATTCGTATAAAAAAAAAAAAAAAAAAAAAAACGCCCCCGTGGGATGCGGTGTTTCGGTGATTGAGATAGAAACGTAATACCAGAAAGGTAAATAATAAATCGTGACGCCCCTAAAAAAAAGCGATTTATTCTGACGTTCCCCCGTCGTGTCGTGCGCAAATATACAAATATTATATTGCACAATAGAACTTGTACAGCAAGTATATACTCGAGTACTGGGACAAATCGGTATACATTCGAACGATAGAGTCACGTTTCGAATGCTCTAAGAATACTTTTAAAATGTGATGTAAACGGACTCTCGTTTCTCCACCCCCCCCCCTTCCATTTAAGTGAAAATCGAGTCCATCTGCGATGATTTATACTCGTTGTTTAGTAAAGCCATGTCACCGTCTACGAAAACGGCGAACACTATCACTAAAAGTTGAAGATTCGATATTAATTGTTCGCGATATTATTATAATAGGTGTTTATTGTCTTAGGCACTATACGTATATGATGCATATTAACATTGAATACAAACATTTATGATAAATAGGGCAAATATTTATGTGTTTTTGCGTACTGGTCTTGGTTGTTCAAAAAAAAAAAAAAAAAAAGTACTTTTTACCGAAATGTGTTTTCTGGCCAAACGATTCCGTATAGGCAATTTGAATTCAAATACTT